TGCCGTAGTGTGGTTAGATGGGCGTTCAACACCCGAGTGTAGGTTACGTTATGTTGTGTAATAAATAGTGTTGCTCCCAAGACAACGTCTGCGACCCAGTTGGACTCACAACAATATTATCAGAGTATGTTTTTTTTTGCATTCTGACCACAAGTATTGTGGTTAATGCAGACATGATTCCTTGTAAAAGGTTTCAGTTTGGTGTTTTAACATCTTAACACCTGTTTTGTTGCCAGAAAAAAAGGGGAAAACCTATTCTCATATTTTGGTACTGGCAAAGGAGGTCCCATAAATGTGTATTCTTTGGGTCTTTCGGTAAAGTCACATAAATAGGTAAAAAAAAATAACAAAAAACTACGACATTTCGATCACAACACAAGTGGACGTATACAAACAGGAATGTGTATATCTTTTTTCTTCTTTTCATGATGACGACCACTTGTGTTGTGATCGAAATGTCGTCGTTTTTTGTTATTTTCTTTGAACCTATCTACGTGACTTTACCGAAAGACCCAAAGAATATGAATTCCTGCAGTCACGAAAGCTTTAAGTCAAAACATAAATGTTCTGCCTCATGGCAGGTATGGGGGTATGCGTACACAGGAATTTCCTGATATGGTGTTGAGTTTGGTCACGTGACCAGGAAGTGACGATTTAAGATTCTCTAAGCCATGAGGCAGGGTGTCAGCCATTACACAGCATACAAAATGGAGGCACAAACAGCGTTTGAGTGAAGACAGGTGCATCTGTTCATTATGGGACTTTAACAAGCATTGTCTGTAAGTTCGTTTATGTTCTTATAATACTGGAAATGCTGATATAATGTTAGGATTGCCGTTATAATGCTGTAAAAGCCGTTATAATTCCGTTAAATTGTTATGATAAATATGAGGCCTAGTTAACAACGAAGCCTGCCACTTGCATTATTGTGAATGTTACTTGTAATTGAATAAATCGAGTCAGATATGTACCCATGTAACTTTAATGCGACCTTGAGAGCAAGAATGAAGAAGTATCTCATCGACAGTTCAGTGTTATGTGCAGCGCTGTACATTTAGGCTGCAGTATGGTGATTATGTAGTGACTGGGGATGTCACTGTGTGGTGCCGGGCTTGCGAGGCACCACACACCGAGACATTGGTTTCCCAGGACCAAGAACCTTTCATTCAGGTTCTTAATGCCGGGCCGGACACAACGGTCATCCAGGAGGGTACCGTGTTGGCACATGCTTCGTCGGTGCTCTGAGTGTGGCGATTTATCTATGGGACAAAGGGGGAAGCTGCGTGCCCTCTTGCGTGAATTTTCTGACATTTTTAGTAAAGGTAAATTTGATATTGGCCGCACACCCCTTTTGAGCCACCATATTGATACAGGCGATGCTGCCCCGATTTGGAAAAATCCTTACCGCTTGAGCCTGGCTGAGAAGGAACACGTTCGTGTGGCGGTTGATGAGATGATGGCCGCGGACATCATCTCACCATCCATCAGTCCATGGGGTGCCCCGATCGTGCTTGTTTTCATTAGCAGATGCATACTCCTTGCCGCATATGGATGATTCCCTGGACGCCCTGGTGGGAGCACGGTTCTTTTCCACCCTTGACCTTCTATCGGGATTTTGGCAATTGCCGCTCGATGAGGCATCCAAGCCCAAGACGGCCTTTCGTGCGCCGCAAGGGTTGTTCAAGTTTAACCAGCTTCCTATGGGCCTCCACTCCGCGCCGGCCACATTTCAGAGGCTGATGGAGCTGGTTTTAGCGGACCTCCAGTGGGATTTGTGCCTGATATATTTGGACAACGTTATTGTCTTCAGTCGTTAGTTCGATGAATATTTGGATCGCCTGCGGACTGTTTTCTTTAAGATGTGTGCGGCCGACCTGAAATTTAAACCACAGAAGTGTCATCTCCAAAAATCGGTTCGATATTTGGGTCACATAGTGAGCGAATCAGGTATCGCTACGGACCCGGAGAAGACGGCGTGTGTCCGCACGTGGCCAACACCCACCTCGTCGTGCGAGGTGCGCAGTTTTATCGGCTTTGCTTTGTATTATCGCCGATTTGTTACCGGCTTCGCATCCTTTGCTAAGCCTCTCCATGCCTTGACTGCTAAGGGGCAAAAATGTCATTGGGGGGAGGAAGAGGAAGCCGCGTTCCGCTCCATTCGCCCCTCCCCTGCGTTATCCCGATTTCTCATTACCGTTCGTTTTGGATACAGACGCCAGTAATACCGGTATTGGAACGGTATTATCTCAAGTTGTCAACGGCGTGGAGCACATGGTCACTTATGGGAGCAGGGTGCTGTCTCCGGCCGAGCAGCGGTACTGCGTTATGCGCCGGGAATTGTTGGCCATTGTAGTGTTCGTGCAGCAATACCGGCCTTATCTGTATGGCAGACATTTTGAGGTGCGCTCCGACCACGCAGCGCTCCAATACGCGCTGCGTGTGGATCAGCCCTTGGGCCAATTGTCACGCTGGCTTGAAATCCTGCAGGATTTTTCGTTCCGTGTTACGTATCGCAAAGGTTCTCGTCACACGAACGCTGATGCCCTGTCGCGATTGCCCGCGGGCGGCAGGTGTGCATGCTTTTCGGGTTCCGGTCGTTGTAGACCGGCCGAGTCAACCTCCCCCCCCTCTCGTTGCGTCCACCGCGGACATGATGGGCGGGTGGGGCGACATCCCAGCTGTGCGGGATGCGGTAATCGGGTTGGACTACGAGGTGTGGGGGCGCTTGCAGGCGGAAGATGCATCCTTGCTTAAATTACGCCGGCGAGTCAGAGAGGCCGCCAGTGAGGCGGCTACACGTGGTGTCGCCCCGGTTGTCCTGCGTGGCAGGCTGCTGGGATGGTGGATTACGCCGGTACGCTATTGTTGTCCCTACCACTCTGCGTGGTGAGGTTGTTTGGGCCGTACATAAACGTCTGTTGCATCTGGGGGTGCAAAAAATGCTGGCCGTGCTCAAATTGGATTTTTATTGGCCGGCTATGGGCCCGGACGTTGAAAATTTGCTTAAAGGTTGCGTACAATGTGCACGGCAGAAGCCACCGGCGAAATCTTGTTACCTTCCGCTACAATCCATTCAGGTGTCGCAAATCAACGAGCTGGTTGCCCTCGATATTCTTGATCCATTTCCAACTTCCGCGCGAGGAAATAAATATTTCTCATGCTGGCCTATGGTCTGGCCCCTCCCGATTGATCAAGGTGAAACATTTTCTTCGAAACTGCTGCGTGAGGTTTGCGATTTGCTGCGGACAAAGAAGGTGCGCATGTCACCATACCATCCGCAGACGGATGGCATGGTCGAACGCCTGAATAAAACCCTGACCTCCATATTGAGTCACCTGGTCAGCGAGTCACAGCTGGATTGGGATTTGCATGTCCCTGTGGTTCTCGCCGCCTACAGGATGGCCCCTCACTCGTCCACCAGCTACTCCCCCTTCTTTTTGATGTATGGACGGGAATATGATCCTCCCATCGACGTACAGTTGCAGGCCGCGTCGGCCGTCAAAGTGTAAAAAATGTCAGGTTTCGTTCATTTCACTCTTGAAAAGCTCTCCAAAGCGCGGGAGGCTTCCAAGGTCAAATCCCGAGCCAGAGAGATGGCTAACCAGCGGCTGAAGGGGGCTTGTATTTCCTTGTGCGATTGGTCGCCGGGCGACAGGGCCTGGTTGCATTGTCCGCAGGTGCCCGTGGGCACATCCTCTAAATTGCTGCACCCCTGGAGGGGGCTGGTTGATGTTGTTCGGGTCGTGCGTCCACAATGTGTCCAAATTTGGCTTGGTAAGTGGAGTTGATTTGTTCACCCCTCTCGTGTGAAGCCGTTTATTGCACCATGTGAATTTGTTTCATCCAGTTGAGGAAGCCTGCGACTCATCCAGGTGCTATTGCTGATTCAGAGCGGCACAATCTCGCATGTATGCGGGACTAGCCTGTGCCGGCACACGATTCCACAAAACATCGATACTGGGGGCAGAGCCGCCCTGGGAATGTCCACAGCTCCAACCTACTTCATATAATTTATCCTTGAAATGGGCTGCCTACGTGGTCGTCCCAAGACGGCGACTTGGCCTGCATGACATTGTGTGTTTTTTTGTAACGAGGAGGAATAAGATTGCCGGCTAATATTACTGCTGCGGGAATTTGTGGTGGCTGTTTGTGGCTGCACAGGGAAGGGGCAGCTGATTTGGTGGGCTTTGGGGTATCTGGTTACGGCTCTCTCCACTTTTTCAGATGCAGCCATGCACATGTGGAACACAATCCTGCAGCGGCACACTATTGTGGATTTTTTGTGGCATTTATGGACAATTGGTATTGGAAAATAAATCATGATTTATCTCTGGGGACTTAAAAGAACCCACAAAAACTATTTTTTGTGTAAATCAGCAATAGAGAGTACCGTATTTTGTGATGCAAAATAATGCATCCTGATGAATTGGTGATGCACGTTAATTATTTGAAAAGCAGCATGATGCACTAATACATGGTGTGTGGAGAACCCACTCCCGTGCTACTTCATCTGTCAGGCACAAGTGGACCAAGCCCTGACAGCATGCATCTATCCTACCTTCCTAACACAAATAACCACATTGCATACATTGCAATAGAAAGTTAGGGAATGAAAAAGCATCTATTAAAATAAAATGTTCTCTTGGACTGACAGTGCTGATGTTGTGTTAATGTAGCACCATTCATTCGCAATTCCTCCTGGTGCCGAGCAATGCGCACGGTCTGTGGTCAAGCATTGGAATTCCCGGACTTGCCCACTGCTCGGCAGCCCCAAAGCACCGGCGGCAGTTGCACTCAGGTAACGGCAGAAATTGAGCCCCAATAATGGGGTAGGAAGTGGTGCTTTATTTGGAGAATACTGCGGTTCTCCTTGTGCAGACAGAATGGTGTCTTCATTAGTTATGCATGGTATAGCTCTGTATAGTGTATTTGTCTGAGAGGCAGGTCGCCTCAGCATCTTGCTCGCATGTCTAAGGTGTACTGCATGGCCTAGGCCTCACCGGCTCCGAAGAAGACGGTTCAGGACGCCCTCCTGACAATCATCTCGGTTCTTCTCCACAAAGCCCTGCATGTCATATAGCACCTGGGCAACGACAGTCAATATCATGGGTCACTATCACCAATAGCCATCTTGATCCCCCGTTAATAAGAGCCCTGCTACTTTGTCAATAGTGCAGAGGAGGCACCTCTCCTGCGTAGTGTCGGATACCGAAGCTCCGGCTCTCCATACGAGGCTTGATGTAGCACGAGTTCATCTGTACCAAAGGACAGGGCAAGAACAGCGAAGAGGCGCTGAGAGGCCGTGCTTGTGTGTCGGGGAGCGCTCGCGCGCAGCTCGGCAAGACACAAAACCTTACGACAGCGCACTACGCAATGTTCTTGTAATCTTTCATTTAATGTTTTGTTTCAAAAATAGACCAGGATAACAACGGTTTTAATAGATAAAAGTACTTTGCCGATAACTTAAATCCTCATAAAAGTGTTGTACTTTTTTTTAAAGGTTAGTCTATGAATGCTGCCATTTAAATAAAACGAAAATGGCAAATAATTGCAACAGCTGGGTTTTTTTTATATAACACGAATGCAATAAAAATAGGGCATTCGAATGTGGTGTGCGTATAGATTTACATCGGGATAGTTCATGACAGGTATAATGAGTGCAGAGAGATTTATGAGAGAAAATGGTCATGGGTGGGGGTATATCACAAAGCCTTAACACCATGCACTGCTGTGCGGCAGACTCACGGAGTGGTGGTGGTGGAGTTTGTTCAGAAGAGTGTTATCAGTCCCGCGAGGGAACAAGCTTTCTTCATTAATGAGGGCCAAAATTCCCAACTTCTGTCCACATACATGTAATAAATGCAGATGTGTAAATACACTCGATATAGATGTGTGCATGAGCAATCACGCAGATGTGACAACTTATAAAAATGCATGCACACCTTTGAGGAAATACACATACAACTCTATATGTGAATATGAGAAAATATGTACGTGCACACACATCCTCTTCACTTTCACTTACAAAAGAAGGCAGGACAGCAAGTAGTCAGGCTAGAACATGGGTGTAGGGCTTTTAACATATCATACAAAACACGCTAAAATAATTGTATGTGTATAGTGACAGTGGAGGCTAGCAAGAATTTAAAAAAAAGTTGTTCTTGCTTGGATGTTGTTTTATTTTTTGAAATCATTAAAGACATTGTTTATTGGAGAAGCGGTGGCACAGTAGATAGTGAATTGTGGTCATTAACTCAAACATCTGAGTTCAACTCCCAGCCATAGCCAATATCAATGGTGAGTGGTGGTTGAACTGGTCCTGAGTATCCCCTTCATCAGCAGGCACTGACCAACCATGTGAAGTTTGGTGAAACAATGGGGAAGTTCGATTCCAGCAGTGGATTTAAAGAGGGCTGTAATTAATAAAAAAAATGTAACTTTTTGCAATACACAAAGGTTAGATTATAATTCAATACAAACCTTTTCAATCAGATCGAGACAATCCTTGTTATCCATCCATGGTATTTCTTTCCACTCAATACCTTCCCTATTGTTTAATGAAGACATACAAAACAAACACACCACATTAAGCAAATATGTTTTTCAGATGCAACATGACCTAATTGTGTTACAGGTGGCTACCAATCGGGCACATATAATAAAGTGATAAAAGCCAGGGTCTCTTATACATGGACATATACTTTTACATTCACTCTTCCACAAAAATCAAGGTGGTACGAATATTACCCGGCATTTCGCTTGCACAAAAGCAAAACATTTGTGAGCTCATCTGGGGAGCATATGGCAGGCCGGTTTCTCCTTAAAAGCTAATTGTTTGGTCTAAAACCATGTGGAAATCGGGTGACATTTAACTAACATCAAGTCACCCCTACTTAAAAAAAAAGATCCTGGTTATGCCCAGAAGCTGAATGCACTCATGAATAATGCACACTGCACCTAACCACTAGGAAGACCAATAACAAAAGATATAGGAAATATCACTGTGCGCTATATTACACTTGGGACTTCAGTGCTGTCTCTGATTCAATGTTTGCCAGTGACCACAACGTACATCAGACTTAAGTTCCCCAGTTCACGTGACTCCTTGCAATCGACGAGGATTCGTTTTGTTATTGCCTTCTCTCAAGCCAACCATCATCTGCACAACAGATGCTTCACACGTGCATTTTGTGCTTTTCAGCTGAATTATTAATTTTCCTACCAGCACACATACAAAACTACAGCTATTTTTGCTCCAACTTTATAAAACCTCCATATCCCATATCTACCTCCAGTCAGATAATAAAATGTAATTGTTTATTTTAAGTACATACAGTATAAAACTGAACAGGGGTTTAAAGGAGTGAGTGTGTCAGTGATACAAGTACATATATCATCTTGGTGAATTTGAATGATAAGGAGTTGAACATGGTGTGAAATATGTCTGATGAATGTAAGGTGTCTTTGATTTTTTTAAGTACACACAACATAAATCACGTGTATTATTGCCACAGTTATATCGTCAGGTATACACAGGTGCGCATGCAATACCTGTGCACACCATAAGCTTTGCGTGGAAAATGCTATTAGAAGCAGCGCAGATGAAAATACAACAAATTGTGCAAACGTAGGATGATTTCCACAGTGTGCAAGCTGTTGTACAAGGGTGAAGAAATGGGCTAACCCGCTGCACATCCCTTAGACTAGGTGTGTCCTTGTGATTGCTTTCCCACAGGCCTGCAGCGGGTGCGTACGTGCATACACACACGTTTGTGGTTGGGTCGAGCGAGAGGAGAAAGAAAAATAGAAAAAGGGGGGGGGGAGGAGGATGTGAATATAGCTTCAGCGCATTTGATGCATCATTCAGCACCGAGGAGGCTTTTACGTCCTTGCGCAAGCGGTGACCAGGTCCTGCTAAACACAGACAGCCTGGTGATGTAATGGAGTGCAGTGCAGTCCTTAACACTAAACCCCCCGAAAATAAGCAGATGACTTCATCGGAAGAGTACAGTTGAAAGAAATGTAATGGTACACGCCATCTATTATTAGTGCTTTTAGTGCCCTAATGCAAAGCATAAACAGTGGTGATGCAACGGTTTGGCTTGATCCATTGCATTGAATGCTATAATGTGTTCGTGATATTGTGACTGGGAACGCAGCTTCATGTGGATGAGTCATCACCTTTTGTACTCTTGCTCCTCCAGAGAAAACATGTGCTTGTTGAAGTATCCTTGCAGTTTCTCGTTAGCATAATTGATGTTAAACTGTTCAAAGCGGTTGACCTGCAACATAATTTATTGTCACAAACACAATCCTCACTGCTGTTTATGACAATTAATTATATGTGCTGCTCATATAACATGAATAAAATATGTAAATTTGTATCTTTTAAAACGGGTTTGTTATATGTACTCTGGATATAGCTGTTTTAAGTGTAATAACACATGAAATGCATTAAAACTTGAAAGTATCTAGATTTACCTTTATATTCTAGATACACCAGAATTGTACTGTACAATATTTGCTTAATTGTAAGTTTGTACGAATAGAAATGTGATTTGGGTATTCGCAAAAGCCCCTTTCTATGTGAGTGCATCTGCCAGGTTTCCCATCCCCGATGTCAACCTGGCCAAATAATTCTTGCCTTAAGGTTCTCGAACCCGAAGATATCGAGGATGCCAATGGAATGGAAGTCACGCGGGCCATGGATTTGATTGTTTACATGGCCCAGGAGCCATGAGAAGCAGCGCGAGTACAAGGCCATGGCCAGCGAGTCCCGGTACTCCTCGGCCTGCAAGAGACACACGCCACGTAACGCGAGTGCCATAGAGTCAAGAATGGGCTCAGTACTGCCGGGCAGGGTCTTCTTCGCAAGCACTACAATCCACATGAAGGCCTGAAGCTGTCTTATGTAGGTTGTGCCCATGTCTTTCACAGTGTGGTCTGTCCAGGAAATTGGGGATTGACCGCAACTACTAGGGCTGTGAAGTTCTGTAAAACTTTATAAAATAATATGATTTTGTGTAATGTATTGTTGTTTGGCGTAGAACTAGGATGCATACCTACATTGGTTCAAGTAAACCTGATTCTGCTAAGGAGACAATGAATATTAACACTGGTGCCGAATTTGCTTGTGGTTCAGCCACTCCCAGAAGGCCTATTGACTGATAAGATGTGTAAAAAGTATGTTATATATTTAACATGGAGATACAGCTATGGGAAAGAGAGGTATTGTCTGCTTATTTTTCTTATACAGTACATAAATTAATCCAATGTAATCCATTGCAACTATTTTCTTACAATAAAAATGTTATTTCAATTAATTCCAATTTGATCAATCTTAAGCTGATCATGTGAACTAATGTACCGAATGGATAGGGGGATCCTGCATGCAGTTTTCAATTGTGACCAATACGGTGGTCACACTACCAGTACAGTAACTACTAGTGACGTTTAACTGCAACTGTCCTATGGCTGGGAGGGAGAATGTGTCGAATCTACGCCCAAAAATGAGTGTCAACTAAAGCACAGCGATTTCAAGCAGAGGCTGGATAGCAGATTCACCATAAATCAGTAAAGGGATACGTTTAAGAGCACTGTATTCACCTTATACATATGTATGTAGAACTTTTTTGCACCATACGTAGACAATCGTGCTAATTGGAGGTGTGTACATAACTAAAAAAAGTTATGCAGATGGCCATGAATAAAAAAACACCCAGACGCCCACCTTTACAAATACTGCCCTTTTAAAAAAAATGCACATTTAGTGAAATGTCTGCGATGGTTGTTGACCCATTAATATACTTAGTTGGGTAATGTTTTGGCAAAGTCAATTATCTGAAACATTCACCTGCAATATATTTTTCCTAGTGTTAATGAGAATTGGGGTGGGAGTGGTATCAATATGTTCTAACTGACAAAGTAATCCCGACAGTTCTGTTGAATAAAATGAATGAAATTGCATTTATTTAAATTGACTCTCAAGTTTTTCCTGGACTAAAATCTCAGTACGGCCATAGGCTGTACTCCTACGTACCATACACAGTATGGGCCTATTGAGATGAAGCATCTGTGCTCATATGAATACCCAGTGACGCTCCTAGGTTGCCTCGTGACAGATCCCTTTACGAATCACTAGCTTTACTACCCGGCTTCGCCCGGGACTTGGATTCACCACGCCCGGCCGCCTTTGTCTCCCCAGTGGCGATGTTCACACACCACAGCAGTTACTCGTTTGAGGCTGGGTCGACCTAGGGGAGGCCCAGGACCGGTAGAAATAATCGTCACCGGTGGTAGCCGTGAGCGGGAATCGAACTCGGGTCGCCGGGTTCGTAGCACAGCGTAGCGCTAACCACTACACTACCGCTCCCCCCCCCCCACACACAGACAGCGCGCTAACCACTACACTACCGCTCCCCCACACACACAGACACTCACACAGACAGCACGCTAACCACTACACTACCGCTCCCCCCACACACACACAGACACTCACACAGACAGCACGCTAACCACTACACTACCGCTCCACCCACACACACAGACACAAACACAGACAGCACGCTAACCACTACACTACCGCTCCCCCCACACACACACACAGACACACACAGACAGCACGCTAACCACTACACTACCGTTCACCCCACACACACACGCGCACGCGTCTATATGTACACATAAACGCGCTTGCTGCAGACCCACACAACTTTCAGGGTGCGTACGGCAGTAAACGACTGAAATAATAAAGCAATGCTGCGTGAAGAACGCCTTAGACCTGCAACACATTTGTTTGGCACTTTACCCACGGAGGGTTGGGGGGGGTGACATGAGCAGGCACACTGCGTGCCGCTTCCACATGTGCGGGTCACATGACAGATGTGACGTCACAGCTCACTTGCCGTGCAAGTGAGATGTGACGTCCCCCCCCCCAAAAAAAAAAGAAAACCACAAAAGTCTATTTTTATAATTTTTGCATGGTGTACAGTCTGGAAAGTACCCACATGGCAAATTTCAAGTTTGTTGCATGTCGGGAAGTACGCTAAACATTCTGAAAAGACACACATTCACACATTTCCCTTTCATTTATATAGAGATATACACAAACTAGAGGAGTATGGCAAGTCGGTGAACTCTATAGAATTGCACAGCAGGTGAAATTCTGAGGCATCACTTAACTTACAACCTGTGAACGTTTGAGCAATAATTACTGTAACCACATGCCTATTTACAAACAGGGGACTGGACAAGGGCTGCTGGATACTGCCACTTGTTAAACCTGAAGAAACAGAACATTTTCCCAAGGGGTCTGGGGTAATGGGAGCGCTAACGATTGTCGTGCCACGGGCAACAGCGTGACCGGTGATTTACCCTCTCACCTCCTCTGGTTATCTCGGCTCTCCACCCCCTACGCACGTGCACCTCGTCCCACATCCTGGACTCGCCTTGCACTCTATCACTTGGTGCTACAGCTGCGAAGTGCCGGCTTACACCACCACCTCACTTCACCTCCCCCTCCTCTCCTGGGTGTTCGTGTGACCGACTATGAGGACAGACCACTTTTTGCTACAGTATCGCTAATTCAGTTTTATTAATGTGTCATATTCCTCCTATGCGTCATCATTTTATTTAAGCACCCAGCACATAAACTTCTCGTGAATTTCCACTGCGATTTTTTTTCCATTGTGAGCATTATTCACTGTGCTCACTTTAGTAAAGGACATGTTTATGTTTTTTATATAATTTATCTCATGAGTGTCACCGTTTATCTTCCTTCCCTTCACTCTTTTTTCTTTCCGAGTTAATGCACAAATTGCACGTGGAATTCTGAGGAGGGAGATAAAATGGAAGCTATGTATAACCAACATGGCAATGATAATGACTTTGGGAAGGAAAATGACTAAAAGGATGGTAAGGATAGTATTACACACAGTTCTTATGTAAACACACATCAAAGCCATATGCATGTTTTGATTGGTTTAAAGTTTAACACCACAAATTTCCTTCTATTCACCAAGGGAGGACTGATTGATATGATCCAAAAATATTTTGCAATTGAAAACTTGAATGGCTTTTTATTTGCAAACACCAAGGACTCATGAACCATGCAATGTTGTACAGTTGCTAATGTTCAACTCTACATAAGTTATACATTTATATTCACCTAGAATTTTAGTGGCTGCATTTTGTGCTGTGTAATGCTGTAGATTAATGCTGCTTAAAATTCCTGGCTTGTGCTGGCTATTTCTGGTTCCATACCGAGGTTAAGCAGAGGTGATTTTTGGCACAAGGGCTGTGTATATCCCACAAGCGAGAGTGGGAGTTGTCAGGAGTACGAACATAGGTAGGAGGTGAAAGAAGAATGTCTAAAGCCAAACTTTGTGATGTCAAAAATCCGTTTTGAGTTATGACAGCACTGTGAATTGCCATTATACCTGCCACGCACTCTCATGAATCCTTTTGTGGGAGGAAAATGTAGTCCTTGTTAATCTCAATATGCCATGATCATGCAAGATGTATGAGGTGAGATGAATGTTTGACACACATGATCAAGTGAGTTACTACTAAATTGTCCATAGAGAAAATGTATGTCGCACACTCACCAATGTAAACAGGGATGTTTAGGACGACTATTAGCCCACTGAAAATCAGTGGGCTAATAGTACCAATGCCAAATTTAGGCAAGTGTTTATAACTTCTTTCAGAGACCAAAGCAATTGTATTTATTCATTAAATATTTTTTATTTAGGATTAAATGGCATCCAACAGCTGGTTTACAGGACTGTCCTGTAAGAGGAACACGGCTGCATACCCGCTGCACACGTCATTGATCATCAGAAATTAACATATTGTAAAATCACCATAATATAACGTGCACTCTGTAGATGATAAATAGCATTTAAAGTAACATTAAATTGAATTGTGAAGCAACGGAATATATTCAATTTATGGAAAAGGTTAAGACGTTCATATCAGCTAATGGATTTCAAAGAGAACGTTAATAAAGAGCGTGGCATTCAGGACGAATGGGCTTCCTGCCCAGGCACTGAGCCACTCGCCGAGACGCCAACATAGTTCACCTGTTGCACTGAGAGTCGCGTGCGAATGTCCTCTCCACGTAGGATGATGGAGCGACGTGTCAGGACCTCTACCACCAACGTGGGTTCCACATGGAGAAGCTCCGCCACGCGTCCCAGCTCTGCAAGTTCGGGGATGGGGGGGGGGGGGACAGAGCTCGAAAATGTACTGGGGGTGGCCACGTGTACTACAATTCACACGTCATATGATGCAAGATGGCATCAGTTTAAGATAAATACTCATCGAAACGACTATGTATTGCCGACTGCGGTGGTGACTATTTTAATTAATCCAATCTCGCTGGAATTTTTTGGCATAACAGGAGATTAAATGTCAAATTAGAATTGTTTCTCCTTCTTGAATGAGAGTTACACGACATTTATCTCTGATGATGGCCTGAAGTTGTGAAAATTGATCATTTCCTTTGCAGAGGCAAGTATTTATAAACACAAAGGAACGATGGGTCGAGGTGACCTTCACGGACTTTGAATTTCTAAGTGTTTGGGTAGCAAACTATAAGAAGTGCACCCCCTCAAGGAAGCACACATAACGGCAGAGTAGGAAAAAGATTCAGACTTTGTCCCGGCCACACAAATGCCTTTTCGATTGTTGGGGAAAGACTGTCTGGGCTGGAGAGTTGGCATGGGACCAGGCGTATGCAAGGTAATCTCAGGGGTGGGCTCCAAAATGCCTCCGCACAGGCCTAGCTGGCACCAGTCCAAGCGGCACACCAGTCCAAGACACGCACACAATGGACCCACAGGGCCGTGAATCAGCAAAATCAAGTCAAAAAGAGATTTTTAAGGAGCAGGAGCATGTTTACAGCAGAACTGTGTGTGGTTAAGTGGGCATGAGAAATAGGTCATTTGAATGTTCCCATGATCCAAATCCGCCATCAATACTCTACATTCAGCGCCTATCAATATACAAGTCATATTCAAATTATTATAGTCCTCACTTTACTCTCGGATTAGCATCAGTATAGTAACAAATACTTCACTTTGTAATGGAAGAATGAAATTCAAAAGGTCTATTTTCATTATTTTTGGCTGAAAAATATGTCATGGGTGAGACTTACAATTTAGCATAACAGAACCACCCTGTCTCTTCTGAGCCAGACTTATGGTTCAATGGTAAACTATAAATCTGTTTATTCAAACTGCTGATACAAAACATATCATTGACAGTGTGACTGGTATCACACGAAGAAATTTGCTGTTATTTATTTGCATGGAAATGAGATTTAAAAAACAAGGGTTTAAGACAGTTTGTGCGCTAAAATAAACTAGATTGCAAGAGTAGGAAAAGTCACGCATTTTAAGGTTACTTTAGGCTGTTGAAGGCAATTTTATGTCAGGGCAGAAGATGCTATTTACTAAGCCATATGGAACTAACCCCTAAAATAAGATATCGTGTTAGATGCTAAGCTATAGTTAATATAACATAACCAAAGCAAATATTTCGGTACATAAGTAAAACATTTTTAAATATAGTATGGCGGCTTTACTCATGACAGTCAAGCGATATTTTTTAATTAAAAATGTCTTAAAACACTTTTCTAAACAGTGAGAAAGGTTCATGTCCAAGTTCACCAAAAAGGCTGAAAGAACAGCAGATCCTGGTACCCGTTGCACATGCTAAACAGTTTTGTAACATAAATTAATTACAATTCTTTTGTCGTATGTGACATAAAACCTGCAGAACCTCATCAAGCTCAACTCCTCGCACACGTGCTCAGTTTCCATGAAATATACCTCGAATCGCACGCCTATTTTGTCAGGCGATGACCCAAGTTGCAATGCAGATTGTGCGGGTAACGTTGGGTCGGGCAAAGTTGGCTCGAGTAGGCGGAGACCCGTACGACCTCCCCGCCCAATGTAGGGATATGCCCCCCGGGACCCACCCGGGTTGCGGGGGTCGAGTTGCGCGCCTCCCACGTTGGTGAAGGTCATGTTCCCCAGGTGTATGATCCCGGCCATGAGCTTCCACAGCTCGTCCACCTGGCCCTCTTGGAGGCCGAGCGCATGCAGGGACGACTGCTCGCAGTGACGCAAGCATAAATGTGCCATGCAACCGTCACGCATCAGTCACGGCAGCACGGCGGAGAGACAATGGAATGTTCGACATGGACACTACATCATGTAAGAATGCAAAACGGTTCATAAATATAAGGTGTAGCAATTTTAAAGTATGTTACATTAAGAATGAAGATGCTGCATCCTATTGGTTACTTTATGCACACCTTGTAACGTGGGATGCAACACCACCCTTGTGTGATGCACGGATTTAATGACACAGGCAATCGCATGTTCAGACATTGTGTTTTCAGCAAAAACTTAGGAGAAAAAACGCAAACATACACAGCCTCAACATTTCATCTCACAAGCAATGGATTTAACGTTCATACCGAGACTCTGTTGAACATGTCCTTATCGGAAAGAATGCAGTCCTGCTGGTTGAGATAGCGATGGCAACCAACATCCGTAAAGTGGAGCCGCTCTGAAAACAGGTTGTATGAACTATCAGTCACGGACTGAACATGTGTGAAGAATGGTTGCATGCACTTTGTGAGCAGAGTTATAACTCCAAAACTGGAATAGTGGTATCATCAGAGTGAATGTAAATAAGAGTGGGGAGGGAAAAAACGTGGTTGACTTTAAAGCAATGTTTCACACGTGTTGTGTGACAACAAATCATGCTTTGATAAAGATTTAATTTTGTTGGAGCTTGTGGAGCTTGTATGTCAAATTAATGTACTTTATCCCCCAATCCATGTATCATTTGTGCGGTCTAAAATTAATTTGCTCTTTGCTGATGAATAACCATGCAGTTGTACACCAGAATTCGAACAAAGAACTTGCATCTACCAGGTCCCAAGCTCATTTAAAGTAATTCCGCATAAAAACAATAGCACTAAAGATGAAGCATCACTAAAATGCACTAGCAGAGGCAGGGTGTCCACACACATCGTGACTGATTTTTTTACCAAACAAAAACTACTTGTAAACCATAATACAACCTTTACCTAAACAAAAAAACGACATATTTCCTGTAATTCACCACATCATCACCAATGGCTGCGCTTTAAGCTATCATCATTATACACAGCCGATGTATCATAGTATTCTGTTCACTAAAGCTCTATCTGTAAGCAGTCTGTGCACATTTCCCATTAACTTTAAAAGGGACAAATTGCCTCCTGTTAGGGAAGTGAAATAACCACCTACTCACCCATCTGTTGGCTTGAGGCTCCAGCCAGAAGAGCATAAAAGATGTGAAAGTTCCTGTCTCCTGGGTTCTGCTGGACCACACGAGTCTAGGAATAACAAGAGTGAGACCAGGTGTCAAGGGGCTCTCAAAATTAAATAACTGCCACAAGCACTGTGCAACGCATACAAACTTATTATCAACACCCAGGACCATTGTAAACTTACATCTGTAAAGTATTTAAATTGAAAATATATGTGAATTATATTTCTGAAATCACGAGCAAAACAATTTATAATGGCGCTTTGGGTGGCAGAAAGGTGCCACATGCTAACCAAAAATACATTTACTTGACTTATAATGCTCGCAAGTTTAATTTTCTACGACTCTATACGCCTCTATGTAAGGAACGAAACAGTTAGACTTCTCTTTCGTTCCTTATATAGAAACAGTTAGACTTCTCCACAAATCTGGCTGTCGCCTGATGAAGCTAGTTGTAATTACTGGCGAAACGTCGTAGATTGTAAATGTTGTGTCTTGGCTCTCCAACACACCGGTGTGCTATACTAGTAACGATTTGGCATTTTCCTGTTAACGTGACAACCCTCACTAGTTGGCTGTGTCAGGTGGTGGTGGGTTTTAACGACACATTTATATATTTATGCGATCTAACCCAAACAAAAACTCTACTATGGTTGAATTTTCTAAATAAAAAATATTATAAAATGTCTTATATCCAATAGACTAAACCTAAATATAGTCAATGACATACCAAACATTTAGCATACAAAGACTTTATTTATACACAAAAGAATGTTGGATGCTCACTTACCTTTTCTAGTAGATCTGAGCAGTGGTAAATGTAGATGGTTAAGAAATACTCAAAGTAAACCACATCAATGCCTTAGAGAGCCATGCAATGCAGTATTACTACTCAACGATCTCAAAGAGATTTCCTGCTTTTGCAGGATATGGGTAAATACTATGAAAATGTCAAACTCAGCCGTTAAGAAATTAAGGTCAGCATTTAATCATGTCACTGTATACATCCATGCCTTCAAACATTCTGGTTTTAACAATAAAAGTAGATATGCTACAACGTCTTTTTGGAAAAAAAGATGTAAAATTATGCAATAAGCGGTTCCTTTAAGTTGTTACTTTACAGAGTAAACAATAATAAAAAACATATTTGGCCACCAGAGGTCAATATTTAGACTTGGTGGTCTGGCAACCATACCTACCACTTTTGCCTGTGACAGCTTCCAGTTAAAGATGTCTACTCAATGCATCAGGGTCGACAACCCGGAAATATATCCGCACACGGCACACAACATCTGGTATACCGCTCGCTATGGCTGTGGTTACTAGTCATGTGCCTACTTAATTTTACCAGTGACCTGGAAAATATTCAATGAGAAATTAAGCCCTCATCTCGACTGAGCCCAAGCTACGGTCTTGTCAATCCCAGGGCCTGGCTATGCTAATCTAAGCCTCTTGTGGTGACGGAGGAGGATACAGTCGAGCACGACGCCACCCTGTATGAAACCCGCACGTGAGAAGTGGAGCTGGACAAGCTTCCCCACGCGGCTCGAGTTGTCGTTGTGAGCTGTGCGTGCATTCCCAAAAGCCTCCAATACCAGCCTGCACAGTCACAGACAAAGGCAGGGAGCGTCACCGGCAACACACTTCCCAAAGTGTTCTATTAACGTGAAGCCTTTAACTTCCCAACACAATTACAGGTCACAGCATTAGAATATTATACACCAAAGATGCCAGATTTAGTCTGGAACAAACTGTCAGGCCATGGTTTATTTTAGCCTGTTAATGAGCACCGATTTCAGTCAAAATGACACATGATGAGGTAGTGTGAGCAACACCACACCTGGATATGTTTGTCTCCCAAATGCTAATTTTGCACACACCAAATAAGGTACTTATTTTAGAATAAGTCCACCTACAGAAGGCCTGGGCTAGGTTCCAGTCACGAATGGTGCTGCGCATGGCCAGTAATCAAAACCATTTAACTGATTGACATTTTAATCTGCATGTTACATCTACCATATATATACACGCACACCGCGTAAATGTACATACACTGTATACACTGCATTGTTATATTTATCTGGGGTGTGCATAAGGTTTAAGCATTTATCGGTATTGCTGCGTGTGGTGGCGTCAGCCAACGCATCTCCATACCCGCACTCTTCGAGGGCCTGCTGGACTGCAGTGACCCTCTGACCTCTGGCAGCTGGAAGCCCAGGCCCACAACCTCCTTCTCCTCGGCCCAGCGCAGCGCAGCATCGGGTGGCGGCTGTGAGGCAGCCCAGGAGGAGCTTTGCACTCTCGGTCTTTCCGGCGCCGCTCTCTCCACTGCAGGGAGGCCACGGAGAAAATCACAGCAAGGCAGTCACGGCATGGCTGCCCTTAATTAGCGGTGCTCTCATTTGTCGGCGTAGACTAACATTTAGTAAGTATTAAGTGCAAATTCTACATTTTTGCTCTTCCCACCGAATGGTATACAGTTATTGCTAAGAGTGTTAGGAGCAGAGTCGGGAAGATGAATTTACTGTACTGCTGAAAGCATCATTATATTCATCACCACTGCGGTTTTTCGTTTTAGCATTAAGCCTCAAACATGTGTTAAACCACTGCGCATTACTACAAACAATTATAAGAAGATTCACACCAGAATATGCAGAAAATAGTATTATTTAAACTTGCATTAACGGTGTTTTCTACATCAGTGAACGTTTCAAGTTTTAAAGTTTAAAATGTAGACACATTACTATAAATACTTGAATAATTTACACATTGTAAGCACAATGCAAAAGACACAAAACAGGCTGTAGATTTGCTCAAAAGCTTTGCTTGTACAAGGCTACTTGTGTTCCCCTTGGGCTAACGTGAATGCACCCAGTATGTTTGCTCAGCTTGGCAGGTCAAGCCAATATTATCTGTTTGCCCTGGACGGCTGTAAGGTCTCCACCAGTGCAAGGAGCCATGAGAACAAAGATAAAGGCTCACATTCACTGATGGTGGCATTTTTAACCCCTTAAGAGTGCCACAGAGGGTTTCAGGCATATCACAAGAGGCAACAGGCAGGGATAGCGGACTAATGAGGTTTGCAAGCAACATGGCGGGCGGGGGGGTCGAAGGTTAATGGGAATTTGTTCAGAGGAATCTCCAAAACGGTGCTAACGAGCAACGTGACTGCTTTCCAAACCACAATCGGTTCCCTTTGCAGCATCAGCTGTATTTTGCTAAAAGTGGCCAGTCAAATTCACGTTGGCCCAAAGTGTGAAAATTCTTATTTACTACACATGTAAATGCTATAGGGTAAGTATTTTGTAATAAAATCCAAGCATTAATCGAGAGGCTTAGTGAGCCTTTAACAATATGTATCCATTATATGGATTATAATCAAAATGTCTAATAGCTAACATTTGCTGTGTGCTTGGATAGAGCAAAAACATTGCATTTTTTAAATTGTATTTCCTGTATACTGAGTTTGTGTCGCATATGTATGCAGTACTCTTAAGTGCGTGTTGAAGCATCGACAAATGTACATTCTTTTATGAGTTATACTGCATATTCTCGCACTCATCAGTATACTAAACATATTGCCCCTCGAATAAACTAGCTAACAATGTTGATCGCTGCCTATACATTCCCCTAAGGACAAAATGTGCAACGAGGGAGCTGCTCCGCTGTTTGAGGCAACGAAGCGTTTCTTTTTGCACGTACACACCACCTACTGCGTGCTGTAAAAATTACAGCAATGCTCGGCCTCACTACGTGGCCAGACTGGGAGGACCTTGGTCAAAGGGAGAACCAATGTGACTCTTGTTTATGTATGTATTATTTTACTTGCATATCGAGTTTGAAAGCAAAATTTACATCAAAGTGTTTTTCTCTCTCTCAAAATTATGAATATTAAAATCGGTGCGTGGTACAACGGTTTAAACATTGGCAGCATACCACTGAGATTGATCAGGTTGGCAAGTATGAAGAATGTCTACCTTCTCAGTGCACTCACTGCTCACAACCGTTTGCTGAAAATTTAAAGAATTGAATTTAAATCGTTGGCTTACTTGCTAGATACATTTTGCATTTACATAAAACATTGACGCAGAGTTGTAAATTAAAAATAATAGCAAGTAGAAAAACAATCAAAATAAACGTTTACTATTGAAAAAAGTTACCATGTCCATACACTTGCATATCCTATCTGTGGCGCTTGAATGGCCGTAATATACAAATAAATTATTTAAAGAGGAAGGAGCTGCATTTCAAAACCTGTCTCACAATGGAATAGAAAGTGTAGTTTTTGTTGTCGTGTGCAGTGCGGTGTTGTAAATGCAAGCACACTTATCAATGATTAAAGAGCCCTTCCCCGGCAACGACACATGGCTATAATTACCATAGCAGAAACATTGGCCCTACTTGTTTGCTGCACCTGTGCACATTGGACATCCTTTGTGCCGTGCCCTCTTTTGACAACGAATTCCCAATATTGATTATAATTAGCCCAGTGACACTGAAGCGATGCATTATTTATAGCCACTTTTTGTCTATCCTTTAGGCAAAGTCAATAATAAAGCATGCATAATAAGGTGTGCCTGCCTGTCCAGTCAGGGTACCCAGCAATACCACCGAGTTATTGCTTCTAAACAAAGCATGAGGATAATTTCAGATGCACTGTCAAGTAATGTATAACACACTATGACTAGACTATATCTGACTAGCTGTTACCCTAATAATTAAAAGCCTGGAAAAATACATGCTTCCATCAGATCCCACAGATGTACACATCAGCATGTGGTGGTGGCAGTCAAAACAAGATATTAAAATAAGCAAAATAACTTTTATTGCTTAGTTTTTCAACATTCAATCATCACCATTTACTACACTATTAATTAACACAATTCAATGATTACTAGAAGTGCAATTACACATCGATTAATATCGACTCATAAGCACATGATACATGCATTGCATTGTGTAAGAATCTATGTTTTTATTGCGGTATGTTGTACATCATGGGTTCACATGACTCCTGCAAATGCTAAAGGTGGCTAGATTCACCGAAATATTATATGTTTAATTGAATCACAACCCTGAATCATGGTAATTAATCAAAAAACGCTCGGTGGGGAGGGGGCATGATTGTTACACTCACAGTATAATATAAACACGGAGCTTGAAAGCGTCCAACACTGGACAATGCTGTTAACCAGATTGCCACTTGTGTCCACACAATCTGCTGGACAAGGCACACAAAGCCGAGATACCCACCTGATGAGCACACACTGGCCACGGGCGCGACTCCACAACCCCCGGTAGAGCTCACTGGCCATGGCATAGATGTGGGAGGGCAACTCTCCAAGCCGGTGGTGGAGGTAGTGGCCGAGTGGAGTGGCACCGTACAGACCTGGGATGCTTTTGTATGGGTTCACGGCCACTAGTACAGGTCCAATGTACGTCTACAAGGTTTAGGGAATACAAATCGGTATGTTGTAACGAGTGATTATCATGTCAAGTCTAACGCACAATCAATACCTGTGGTTTTAAACGAGGCAAGACTTCAGTGAGATACCGTGGGAACAATACAAGTGTAAGCATGTTTACGTCTGATTTTATATTAAACTGTCATTGTTAAGAAAGCTACACATTCCCATGGGTGATATGTTGCAAAAATTGCATGAATTTTAACATTGAGTCGCATGTCTATTTTTCACGGATGATTTAACGGTATTAAATACATTCAACAAAATAAGCTGTTATTTTGACCAATAAATGCATCACTGAGTTGATCATACTCACATATATAATATCTTGCTTATAGCGAGAGTGCAGGACGTGCAGAATGGCTTCCTCATTGACCTGCTCCAGCTGTGACAGATCATCCATTGCCTCAATGGGGTCATTTATTTTTCTTAATTGAGCCTTTTCACTTGTTTGCTTATTTAAGGCGCAAAACCTATTCTCGGTGATCAGCTTGACACTATCAGTGCTCTTGATCTCAAAATCTAGAGTGTCATGCACAGGCAAGAGTGGTATGGGAATGCCCTTCACAGTGAAAGTGTTAAAATTAGTGTCTTCCGCAACCATGCCAGCTATGGATTGAGTTGCGTTAACATCACACCCTGAATAATTCGAGACCCCTTCATGACATGGTATCAATTCAAGATTACGGCTCAAGTTATCCACAATTAGACTGTCTTGACCTTGCAATGTCTTTCTAAAATGTCCACTGAAATGTTGTACCACATGCTCGAAATGTTGTACCACATGCTCAGCGTCCATTGTACCAGTGCTATGTATTTCATTGTGAAAAAGAAGCTGAATGCTTTCCACGTTGTGAGTATGTGTTTCCTTTTGTGTTATATCCCCATTGGACAATGCTGGATGTGTATTCGTTGATGACGTTAAAGGAGTATTCTCTTCAATTCTTGGTCTCATCAAACATGGACTGCTGTCCTCACATTTATCATATTCCAGACACCTGTAGATATCCTTCTGACCCATTTGCATGTGACGACCTTTGCTCCGTAAAGTCACACTCTCTTCTCTGTTTGCTGGACTCTGAAAATTACTACTGTGCTCCTCTACAATAGAAAGCACATTCATTTTCCCTGAAAGATTTTCACCTGGGCAATTTAGCTCTGCACAAGCGGTTTGCACAGCTTTTGTGAGACTGTGCGCGACTGCAGAACCTTTGTCCATAGTATTCTCACTCATTGTGCTGCTCATGTGACCTCCAGAATCCAGTGTATTTGTAACAAGGTTTGTTTTTCCGCTCCACATCTCAGACTGCTTTAAATGAGATTGCGCTGGTTCTATCGTCTTCTGTAGCATTATTGTTGATTTCTGTTGATGTAGCAGCAGGGTGAGCCCATACCATCAGTCCCTGAAAACAATAGGTTGAGATGAATTTCTAAATATTCAGCAATGTTTACACAATTTACCTTTGATACGAACGTTTAACAAATAAACATACTGTCACATTTCAATCTCAGTAGGTTAATGGCAACCAAAGGAGAGAGCACACCTGAGAGGATGGTCACCATGGAGATTGAGTGATGAGATCACGTGCAGGAGCGAGATGAATTGTTGTATCGCGAATACCATTATGGACGTGACAATGTCAGAAGGCCTTTATCCAGCAGTGGATAGATCATCGCTGTTGATAACAAATATTTTTTACATTGCATTGCTTTGATCATGAACACTATAGTGGTTTGTAAGGCATATTAATACCGTATTGAGCTAAATTAATCATATTTAAAACGAGTGTATGTCATGAGAAAATTAACAAGTGTAGAGAAGTGCATCCTTCAAGCCAATACAATTGTATAAACAACCGTACATCAACATAACCCAAAATAATTACCCAACAAATGTAAACAGCAAGTGCTGTGACACCAATGACAGAGGGAAATAACATCTGCTTAATTTCAAGGCTTCAATCACACCCCTGGGCTAACATTTTTTTTAAATCCAGATTTCCAAGAACTAGTAAGCCTTACTCTTTGGTTCTTTTGGTAAAGTCACGTAGGTATAAAATAAAATAAATCACGACGTTTCGGGCGCAACACAAGCGTCCGTCATCAGGTGGGAAAGCATGGTCTGCTGCTGAGGCAGACTGTTTTAAAAAGTTTGAAATGGGTTTAGCCCAAGGGTCATAAAGAAGTGGCCGAGTCTAGTGATGTTAATGTGAAAAATTAGCATGATGTTAACGTGAGAAATTAGCATGATGTTAATGTGAGAAATTAGCATGTAACTGTAAGATAGAAGGAGAGCGGCCTCCTCGACAAGGGCACGGAAATGGCTATGTTAATGTGAGAGATTAGCATGATGTTAATGTGAGAAATTAGCATGTAACTGTAGAAAAGAAGGAGAGCGGCCTCCTCGATAAGGGAGTGCAACCCAACGAGTGTAATCCAAAGGGCCTGTGAGTATGAGAGTGCAATCCAAAGGCATGAGAGTGCAATGCAACCGACATGTGCGCATGAGAGATCTAAGAGAGAGGCATAGAGAGAGACACAGAGAGTCGGAAATAACAGCTGACATAGGCATGTAGGAAGGAAACATCACAGTCAGTTAAGACTTAACCTGGTTAATTACTTCCTTCTAATGATTGCTCAGTTTGTACCCATCCTCTCGGTTGAAGTTGTGGCTGTGTTTATATATCTGGATGGCTTCATGAACAAATCTCTGAAGGTAGCCGGTAGGTTTGCAGAGTACCTCCTTCTTGGAAAAATCAATTTCGTGTGAGCCCACAGCTTTAAAACAATGATCGGCAACGGCAGAGGTATTGGTCCTACCGTGTTTCAGATCTACCTTGTGTTCGCGGACGCGGTCTGAGACATGTCGTTTCGTTTCCCCAATGTAACTGCTGCCGCAACCACAACTCAGTTTGTAGACACCAGGGTATTGCATGTCAGGAATCACATATTTTACAGATGGGATTAAATCACGGATTTTGTGTACTGTATTGAAACGAACCTGGATCTTGTGTTTAAGATTTTGGAAATATTTTTGGTAACCCCTGTTATGTACGGTAAAGTGATAGTTTTGGTTGGATCCTCAGAAGGTTGTCTCCGCATGGCTGGGGAGACAGCTTTGCGGATTGTATGGTCCGAGTATCCGTTCATCCTGAGGGCTTGGTGTACGTGCTCCAACTCACTGGCTAGGTGGTGCTGGTCAGAAATGCAACAGGCCTTATGGTGTAGTGTTTTGATGAGGGAATTCTTCTGGGCTGGATGGTGGTGGGAGTCAGGCTTTAGATAGGCATCCGTGTGGGTGGCATTCCTGTAGACCGAATGTCCCAACGACCCATCAGGTCTCTTCTCGATCAAAACATCCAGGAATGGTAGCTTGCCATCCTTTTCCATTTCCACGGTGAATTTGATAGACGGGTGTATGGAATTGATGTGGTTGAGAAATTGGTTCAGTGCTGGCAGGCCATGTGGCCAAATGACAAACGTGTCATCTACGTATCTCTTCCACAAGGAAGGACGTAGGGTGGATATCTGGATGGCATCTGTCTCAAATTTATCCATGAAAACATTGGCAATAAGGGAGAACCCATTGGGGTACCCTCACTTTGTCTGTAGAATGTACCATTCCAGGTGAAGTATGTGTTGGTAAGACAGTGCCTTACCAAAGTTGGTACATCTGGATTCAGTCCTTGTTGGACTAAGTCTTCAATGATTGCAATGGTGTCAAGTACAGCTACATTGGTGAACAGAGAGACTACATCGAAACCAAGTGAGCTGAGTTAAATACAGCTGAGGTGGACTTGCCAGTGAAAGGAAGCAGAGTCTCAGACAGAAATCGGGCCAGTTTGTAGGTGGGTGAGTTAATGGTGGAGACGATAGGACGGAGCGGGGTACCTACTTTGTGGTTTTTTGGAAGGCCATAAAATCTGGGTGGTCTAGCAGCCGAAGGTTTTAGGGAGCTCTGCTTGGTCTGATCGATTAGAGAAGTCGATTTAGTGATGATATTGTTGGTTTTAGAAGCTAGGCATTTGGTGGGATCTCTGTTGATTTTTGTATAGCTGCCATCATTAAGAAGGTCCTGAATTTTGTTGTTTTAAGTGGTTTTGTCCATGATGACAGTGCCATTGCCCTTGTCGGCTGAGAGGATGACAATTTCATCTCTGTTTTTTTAATTTGGAGAGTTCAAAACGCCAAAAAGATTTCCAAAATCTTAAACAAAAGAAACGACATGTCTCAGACCACGTCCATGAACACAAGGCAAATCTGAAACACGGTAGGACCAATACCTCTGCCATTGCCGATCATTGTTTTAAAGCTGTGGGCTCATACGAAATAGATGTTTCCAAGAAGGAGGTACTCTGCAAACCTACCGGCTACCTTCAGAGATTTGTTCATGAAGCCATCCAGATATATAAACACAGACACAACTTCAACCGAGAGGATGGGTACAAACTGAGCAATCATTAGAAGGAAGTTATTAACCAGGTTAAGTCTTAACTGACTGTGATGTTTCCATCCTACATGCCTATGTCAGCTGTTATTTCCGACTCTCTGTGTCTCTCTCTATGCCTCTCTCTTAGATCTCTCATGCTCACATGTCCATTGCATTGCACTATCATGCCTTTGGATTGCACTCTCATACTCACAGGCCCTTTGGATTACATTCGTTGGGTTGCACTCTCTTATCGAGGAGGCCGCTCTCCTTCTTTTCTACAGTTACATGCTAATTTCTCACATTAACATCATGCCAATCTCTCAAATTAACATAGCCACTTCCGTGCCCTCTAATTTCTCACATTAATATCATGCTAATCTCTCACATTAACATAGCCACTTCCGTTCCCTCGTCGAGGAGGCTGCTTTCCTTCTTTTGTACAGTTACATGCTAATTTCTCACATTAACATCACTAGCCCCAGCCACTTCTTTATGACCCTTGGGCTACACCCATATCAAACCTTTTTAAATAGTCTGCCTCAGCAGCAGACCATGATTTCCCACCTGATGACGGACGCTTGTGTTGCGCCCGAAACGTCGTCACCTACGTGACTTTACCAAAAGAACCAAAGAGTATGGATTCCTGCAGTCAAGAAAGCTTCAAATCAAGATATTATCCTTACTGGCAGTAAATTACATGTCCTGTTAAGACTTTACATATAAAAACAAAAATGCTGGACTGGCACCGTGCCACGATGAAATGGTCACTAAATAATTATTGGTCTGACATCTGTGAAATGGGACCAGCCTGTGCTGGGCAATTCATTTGTAGGTTATAGTGATCTTACTTCAGCAGGAATTAATACTATTATTATTTGTATTCACTTGATCCAGTTCTGCATTGGATGGGATCACTGGCTGGGAGCTGACTGTGCAGATATCGAGTGAGCAGAGGGTATTTAGAAAGACGGACAGAAATATAGCCTGTAACATGGGAGTGGCAATTAAATAAGCATTTAAAGAGTTGAGCAAATGTCAACTGCAGAACAAACATAGGGTTGTTTAATTGATTTTATGAAAATGTATCATTGTGCATTATCGTTATAGATAATTTATGATTGTACAAATTATCTAGCCTTGTATATCACAAAATCATTTTAAAAGTAACTATTTCTAAATGTAACAATCATTCCATTAAATTGTATATCAAATGATAGAGAATTTTTACTTAAAATTCTTTTAAACCCTTGAAATGTACATTCAATCATAATCCTGAATGAAGATGTTCAATCAAGAATCCCAGCTGCAAAATCAAACTCATGACTTAGAAACTGCAAGTCGGAACCTCGAAGTACTACTCTTCGATGTTCTCAGTGAAGCTGTACAGTATTATTTATTGGGAGAAGTCTAATGAAAACGGCGAATTATGGCAACATCAAGCAGGGTCAATGTATTGTCTGCTCTATCTGGCTCTCGTGAAATATTGGCGGGCATTTTTCATAATTTTTAATTGAATTTTGATTTAAAGCTTTCGTGACTGCAGGGATTCATATTCTTGGTTCTTTCGGTTTATTGCACTAATACAAAATATATATGCAAAATTACCAAATCGGCTGTTGGAGATGTTTTATTCTGAAAAATGTGGCCAGTGACCACCTCACAATATCCCCTCTTAAATAACACCGTCACTTTTAAGCATCACCACTCACTAACTCAACTAGAATGATGAGACCCAGTTGACTGTCTATCTGCAACACACAAGCAGAGTTTTTTTCCCCCCCAAATAGTTGGTTCCTCTCACAGGCATCCATCTGGCTAGCGCTCACTCGCATGCTGAAGCTTCCCAGAATTCTGCTTTCATCACTGCATGCATCACATATTTTACCTGATATATATCTATTAACGAATCTCGTAATGAATCAAAATGTGTGCTAAAATGCACAAAACATTTATTTTGTGTAATCATGCAGC